CTGGCCCTGATATCCCTCCATGCCCCAGATCATGGCCTTTCCTGACCTTGCTGCACTATGAGACCATGGAAGCCCACAGCTGCCCAGATTTATCTCTGCAGAAAGAATGAAAAGTAACAAAGGAAAGGATTAAGCTGCTGAAAGGCATCTGGTATTGTTCTGTGAAGGCACAGCTCAGCCATGTACTGCTTTCACATGTGTAGAGGGAACAGCCTTTCATCTGCCAACTTTTTGCCAACCCCCTGTCCTCAGGGTTGCATGACCCTTTGACAGTTTTTATGTATTCATCCTATAGCAACATTTTTTGCTAATAGACCCAGGGTGTATGCTGAGGAGCTCTTGTACAGGCTATTATCCCCCTTTGTGCTGGAAGCTGAGCTTTGTTGCTCTGCTAACCAGCACAGCAGCTGAGTGAACACAACATAATGTTCATGAATTATTGCAGGCAATGTTCATGTCCTCCCCAGTGTTGTGTGGCAGGGTCATCTGCTCTTCACTATTCTGGTCTACCTGGGAAATCTCTTTCAGTGTCTATTTTTGTCTAGTATTTTCACTTTACATCCAGTGCACTGGTGACACATTGGTTACTTGACCATAATTCAGTATATAAAACCAACCATAACTAGGAACATTGCTTTCTGCATGGCCTTGAGCGCTGAAGCAAGACTCACCTACCCTGATTGGGTGTTTCTCCAAAAACATAGGCTTCAGGTTTTTTGGCTGAGACTTTTCTGAGCATTTTTTGACCCTGGTTCACTAGAGAGACTTGAGATGTGTAATCCCACAAATGCCTGTGCTGCAGCCAGATTTCAGCAGTGATGGGATGAACATGCTCCAGAGTGCCCACTGGCAGCCCTGGTGCTCCCACAGTCATGATGGGAATGCTGCAGGGCTTGAGCAGAGCATCCTCTTGCTGCAGTGGGAGGTCAGAGACATCACACTCTGGCTCATGAGTTCCCGATGGCACTACATATTTGTTCATTGCAGTATGTTTTCTAATGCTCTTGTCATTCTGGGTATAAAGGTCTTGAAGAAACTTCTCTTGAGTGATTTTGTGTCACTTGAAAATTCTCACCATTAGGAGCTTCTCAGACTCAGATTTTATTTATGATGCAGCAGCCACTATGAAGCAGAGGAAGCTGCAGTTCCAGCCCTAGAATACTGTCAGTCTAAATCATTTTAATTTTGAAGGTTCTATAAAATTCAGTTCCCATAGCTTCCTTCCAGCTACTGCTGTTCTGGACATCCTTGGCTGGAAATATTGTCCCCAGTATCAGAAGCAACTTGTAGGGCTCAGGCATCTTTAACTCACACATTGTCCCCCACCTGAGGGCATAGTGCTGTGTCCTCATGTTGTCACACACAGTGTGTCTGTCTCCTGTGATCATGTGCAACTTCCTCCATCAGTGCCTGACAAGAGGAGGGAACAGAGCTTACACTCTAAGCAATGCATGTGTCTGCATATTTCTACCCTGATGTGGGTGGTATTGATTGGTCCATTAATGTAAATGTCTTGGCTGTTGTATGTTGCCTTTCTTGCTTATTAATCAAAATAATGTAAAATGAGGGGAAAGCAATTTTTTGGGAAGAAAATTAAATACCTTCAACAGTGACTGAATGCAGCCTGCTGGAATGTGCTGGGGCTGTCCGCTGCCCACCAGGCATGAGGGTCCCCACAAGAACAGGGAAGAAAGTTGAAATGCTTTATTTTGACTATTTTGGACAATGTTCAGATTTTTTTCTCTTCAAGCAGTGTTCTGATGGAAGATTTGCCTAAATATGTTTGTTTGGTTAAAAAACCCACAACAAACAAAAAAAACAGCCCAATGTTTTGTTTGTATCTACTGACACTTTTCAGTCAATTGCAAATGTTCTTTTGGATGTGCAAGTTTTTGTTTTGCCTGGAAAAGAAAATGGAAGGAAGCAACTTTAATTCACAGGCGCCTTAAAGTTATTTTTGCTACTGCCAGTTGGGGAGTAGCCAGCAATGGATGCAAAACACTGAGACATATACATAACATCCAGGATGTGAATACTCCCACTGAACCAATTCGCAGGTTGGAAATCAAGCTGGTGCTTAAGTGCTTCGGTGGATTGAGGCTTTAGCAGTTACAAAGAGTACTAAGGAGTAAAAACGATCAATTAAACGACTCCTAATGAATCAAAATACCAGCCTGTCTGAGCTGGGAAGGCCAGAAGATGAAAGCAGATTAGAGAAGGTGTGAAATCCCCTTGTTCAGTGTTTCTGACTGTGTGGTAGCCACTGCTCTGTGCTGCTTGTATTTCTTGGTAAAGCTGAAGCAAAGGAAACTACTTGAGACACTATTGCTGATCCTGTTTGTTTCTATTTCACAAGCAAAGGGGACAATCCAGTTATATATTTATTTTCCATGTACACAATGATGTTTTTCTAAAAATGAGTTGTCTGGAAAAAAATTGCTCTTGTAAATTGATCGTTGTTACCTCAAACCTTGGGAATATTCATTTGTTTTCTGATACAGCTGATGGATTTTGCTATGCAGCCTGGCAGTGTGTGAGAACATAATGCATGTAGTAAAGGTGACTAACCCCTGAGAATGTCCCCACTGATGCCAAGTGGTCCATATGCTGTCATAAACACTTTTTCTTCTTTTTTTTTCACGCTGATCACAAGGGCCCATTTTGGGTAGAAGATCATATTAGGCTCATTCATTACCTGCTGTGCTGGTCTGTGCATCTGCAGTGCAGTATGTCTGCACTGAGCTTTGGACTACATTCCTGCATGTTTTCTGATACTCCAAATTGTCTGTCATGGGTATACAGATCTTCTCCCGTGTGCATCCTGGAACATTCTGCCACAGAGACAAAAATAACTCTTACAGGTGGCTGAACTTCTAGGGAATATGGTTGTTAATAGCAGATATTAGACTTCGTATATATCATCAAAGGAAATCCCTGAAAATTGATATTTGTAGAAAAACTGTTATTCCTTGTAGCAGAAGAGAAAGCAACTGACTGGCAGATGAACTGACTATTTTTATGATTAAATTTAAAATCTAAGGAGAACCACAGGTATGATGTGGTAGTGAAATTGTACAATACCACTGCAAACTTTAATCCTCACTTTTATTTTTCTTGAAAGTCTGTCTTTGTCCAAAAGCAAAATTTCAGGCCTAGGGCTACTGAAGACCATCTTTAAAGTTGCCTTGTGATTTTGGGCAATACATCATGAGAGCAGTGATGTTCAGATGATACATTGCACTAATACATCACAAGAGCACTTTTGCTCTCATGATATATTAGTATAATACACTATCAGAACACTATCACTGATGTATTACTCAAAAACACAGTTTTTGACCCTCAAGAATCACCCTCGTCTCTAGGCTGAATACACTGAAAGCTGTGGATAATGATAAGAATAAGAAATCACATATTCAGTTTCTCTAGGGTAAGCTGAGAAAAAAAAAGAGTAGTATTCTGTAGTATTTCATTAACTGAAACATCCTTGTGATTTCATTTTATTCTTTGAGCAAATGTTTTTATGGATTGAAGCTAACACAATATAGGTGTGCTTGATTTTTCTTACAAATAGCCTAAGAAAATCTTTTTTGATTTGGATTTCATTATGGACTTAAACCTTGTTTTAAGTGTTTCAATGAGGTGCAGGAATTTCAGCTGATTTTTACCTCATCAAATTGAATCAGGTGCAAGTTATGTAAATTCTATGCAAATCATTTTTTTTAAAAGGAATTAGGCACCATCTAAAAAGATCTAGAGCTGCATAAATGTCACTCAAATCATTTGCTGCCTCTCCTCACTGAGGTGTTGGGGGTTTTTTTCCCAAAGAATTATTCTCAGTTGTTTTTCTTTTCTCAAAAGAGAGTGAAAGAGAAAGGGAAAAAGATGAAAGAATGCTTTGCAATATAGTAGCTGAACTTACTGCAGAAAAGCAGATGGATGACAGTTTATTTGATTTCCAAGTAGAGTCTGAGTTTTGAGGATCTTGAATTACCCTTCCTTTACGGTATGAAGAGAGTGTCAGAAAAAAACCCCAAACAGTAATATTATTACCACGAAATCAAGATGGCAAGTCATAGCTTTGCTTTCTTGTCCATAGTTTTGTTTGTTTTACCTATATTTCATCAGCCCTTGTAACAAAAATACATTCCCCCTCACCACCTTCCCATACCAGGTAGCCCAATGCTACCTGTGCAGCTGATTGTCTTCAGTTCTGCTACCCCCCGAGCAACAGCCCTGCCATCAGGAGAGGCACACTTATGCTTCAGGCTCTGCAAAACTGGACTCATAATCCTTGTGCCTCATAGATTTGGGGCCACCTGGTGCTGTGGAGCCCACATCCTGCACGTGTGTGCCCAGCACCCACTTCGTACTCCTGGGGGCTTCAGTTTGTTGTATTCCAGCTAAGCCTCCTTGGGAGGAAAGCAAAGCATTCAAGTCTTTTTCACCTTGTGAAAGGCATTGTAGCAGCTGTGCTGCACAGCCTGGGGGGTGTCCTTTTCTGTCAGCCTTTCTACCTGTGTGGTCTCTGTTGTGTACCATCAGCTCCTCTGTCCCCCAGCCCATGAGTGCAGCACTGAGCTACCCACACGAGCCCTCTGCCCACACCTGCTACTGCTGCATCCCATGGCCATCACCTTTTTATTCTTGTCGGTTCTGAAAACACAACACTCACCTCCAAGGTACATTGTCATTTCAAAGCTGTGGCTAAATACGTCTCTGACTGACAACTATGAATAATTCCACAGAGCCCCTAAACTTCCAGGCATTTCACTCTGAAGCTCATATAATACAGCAGAGCTGCTCTCTCATGTTTTTCATCTTTTATATTCTCCAAAGATTTGAGATACAGTTACGGAACAGGTTAATGTATTTTCCTCTGAAAATAATGCTGTGGGAGCCTGTTCGTGGTTACTTGTGTGTGTTGAGAATAATGCTGACAATCCAGAAAAGAAAGTCGTGAACTTGATAATCACCATTATTTCGTTTCACATTTTCAGCATGTTCATGTCCATGTGCTTCCAAGGAGGGCTGGAGACTTCAGCAGATGATGTCTATGGTAAGGGTTATACTTCATTTCTTCTTCAGAGTTGGTTTTGCTGTTAGTAAATCACCTTAGTGGTCCAGGCCCTGCCTTGGGTGGAGGTAGTTAATGGAATCTCTGTGTCTTTATTGCTTGCTAAGACCTTGTGATAGCACCGAGACCTATATTGGGATTTCCTTGTGAGCTTCCTCTCTGAGAGAAGATACAGTTGACACCTTGGGGTTATACTTCATTTCTTCTTCAGAGTTGGTTTTGCTGTTAGTAAATCACCTTAGTGGTCCAGGCCCTGCCTTGGGTGGAGGTAGTTAATGGAATCTCTGTGTCTTTATTGCTTGCTAAGACCTTGTGATAGCACCGAGACCTATATTGGGATTTCCTTGTGAGCTTCCTCTCTGAGAGAAGATACAGTTGACACCTTGGGTACTTCAGTCTGTCACTGCACACAGAGTGAGGTGACATCTCTACCAATAGCTGTGTTCTCTTATTTTGAGGGCAGGGAATAAGAGGATGACCACATAGTTAGACTGGCATGCAGGGAGTGTGTCCTACTGCTGTTAGCCTGGAGTGCCAAACCTTCCCCTTCCAACAAGAAAAAACACAGACAGCTCATTACAACTCAAGCACAAATTGCCTTCTGGCCAGATTTTTGTAGGGCTTTGCTCAGTCTCTGGACAAATCACACTGTAGCCCCAAAGATGAAAATTAAAGAGCAGCTATGCATATCGATGGAGTATCTGTGTGTGTGCAGATTGTATGGCAGAGCTGGGCACATAAGCTCTTGCAGTGTGACTGAATTACTGGCTTTTGTTTAAATGAACAATTGTGCTGGCATTAACAAAAAGTTTTCCCCAGCTTGACAGCTGTCACAATGATTCTAGGAAAAAATCTCACTATTGTTAAATTTATGGATGGTTCTTACTGGGTTTGGTAGGATCCTCTGTCTCAAATATGACATCTCCTTCTCTTTCTGAAAGTAATTAATATAAACTTGTTCAGTGCTACTGCAATACCATCTGCTTGAAGGAGAATTCATGACATTTTCTTCTTTCGTATTTTTTCCTTTGTGATATATACCTGATGACAACTCCCCACTAGCAAAAACAGGCAGTGCATTTTAAAGTTGTTCGGTTACTTAAATATGCAAAAATGGTGGGGGAAAAAAGTTTATTACTGACCAGTTACATGAAGTATAGTGCCTGAAAACCCCACTAATAAGGGTAAGACCTTATAATGAGACTGCTGAGCAAGAGGAGCCAATGGAAATATATGATGGTCATCGTATCTGCTGCTGGGGTTGAAAGCAGTTGAGTGAGGCAAGTTGAAAATTAACACCAAAATGGGTGTCAGGCCTTGGAACAGGCTGTCCAGGGAAGTAGGGGAGTCACCATCCTCAGAGGGATTTAAAAGATTTATAGGTGGCTCTTAAGGACATGGGTTTGTGGTGGGCTTAGCAGTGTTGGGTTAGTGGTTGGACTCAATGATCTTACAGGTATTTTCCACCTAAATGATTCTATGATTTTTTCTTTGTCACATGTATTAAGAGGTTTTAGGTGCTGTACCAACCCACAAAATCTGTTTCCATTTTTGTCGAATTTACAATTCCATTCGCTTCTTTTTTAACACTTTTTTTTTCTCCCTTGTTATAGCTAAACAGAAACAGGCAAGACTGTTAATGAACTAGACTATATATTTAGGGTTGTTAAATGCAAAAGGGTGACAAATTGGTGAAAAATATTTTTTTATCTTGTCATTTTCAGTTACAGCAATTGTAGGTGTTGTTTTTAGCAGATATAGGAAGCATAAATATTTAGACACAGCTGTGATAATATATCTTTTAGCAGAAGAATGTATTCTTCTGTCTAACCAGCTATTCTTGAACACCATAGAGCTAACTTATGCTTTTTTACAGACTGTAGCTGAAGAAAGATTTCAATTCTTTTTTAGGATGCCAGGGAAACAAAACATATTTAGTGCTATAAAAAGTTTGATGCACAGTTGTATCACTGGCTGGATTAGAGGATGGATGGACTTAAGCAATATGCAGCCATAAGTGAATAAACCTATTTAGAAAAATACAAAAGGGACAAATTATTGAAAAGACAGCTGACTTTGGGAATAATTTGGAACTCTTGATATAATGCATCTCTGTGTTGTACCAACAATTCATATCCCTTTGTAAAGAAGATATTTTAAAAGATTTAGGAAGACATGTAGATCATGGTGAGGCAACAGATGAGGGATAAAGTACCATTAGGTGAGATGTGGGTGCTGGAGAAAGCTTTACATCTGTTGTCTGTGCAATTTGTACTTAAGAAAACCCAAAACCTGTTTATAAATGACACTTCATTTCCATGTATTGGAAGATGGAGTTGTAGTTTAGGCAGCAAAGACCAACATCCAAAATCATCCCAACAGCCTTTTCTTTGTAGTATGTGGCCTGGAGGCTGATCAGCCTCCTTGAAACAGTTTGTGTAATTGTAAAGCACACCCAGGCTAAATTTTACATATTGTGGTGCCTGGTTTGACTGCCAGAGCTAAAAGCTTTACAGCTATTGGGAGCCATTTTCACAGATTCTGGGTCTCAGCTCTGGTTCAACACATCTATTTTGAACCCCTATCTATCTGTAAATGCCTTTGAGCTCTCCAAGCTCTGCAGTTGTCATCTGTATGTGCTCAGCAGATTGCTGATAAATCCCATTGCTCTGTGAGTGTCTGGCAGTGAAAGCAATGCCCAGATGTTGAGACATCAGCCCTCTTAGGAGATTTCTAGAACCGAGACAGCTGGAAAGTACTTGCAGTCTCTTACCATGTGCTTAATTTCTCCCATTCAGTTTGGGACTGACCACTCATCGGATGGAAAAGACTGAAAAAACCATATCAGGTTGATCCCTGCTTAGTCTGTTTACTGGGCTCTGGTATCTTCAGGCTTTTGGCTGTGAAGCTCTGACACAGCCTTGTCTAAAGCAACTTTTAAGAGTAAAAAGTATAGTTAAAGGTAAGGTATTTCTCAGTACTTATATTTTAATAAGGTTGCTGATGGACACAAATGCCTGCCAATTTCTGGATATATTTTTAGAACTATAGGACTGGAACATTAATTGTAGAAGGGATAAAATAAGGGCTGACATTTGTTCCACAGCACCATCTCTAAGGCATTTCTTGGTAAAATATGTCACTTAATATTTTAGGTTTCGAAAGAAATCACTGTGTGATTTTCTAAGATACAAAGAGAATGATTAATAATGGAAAAAACCCATCTGCATTGAATGTTTTAGATGTATTTCCTCTGCATCTTTGCAGGGCTATTTCTTGGAAGGGTATTTCTTGGGAAGTGTTAGCTGTCCACACTCTGGGTTCACTGCAATGGAAAGCTAAAGCTATAGTTTATCAGTTCTTACATTTTCTGCAATTATTTGAAATGTAATCCTGCAAGTGTGCACATGTCAGAATTAAATTGGTCTTACAGGGTTTTTTTATAGGACCAGGCCCTTCATGTTTTACTATTGCTGGATTACTTTTCTCATCTACATCTTGGGTAGTTCTTATTCATTGATTCACTTTATTTCTTGGACAGCAAAACTAGCAACTAAATATTAGGAAGGCTTTTCATTAGAATAACTCTTTATACCCCTGTGTTTTCTGTTTGGTTTGAAATAGATTAATATTTTACATTTATTAATCATGGAACTTAAAAGCCTCCTATTGAGTTGTTGCTTGCTTTGAAGTAGATGAGTTTTTTGCTATTATAAAGACATGTCAAAGCAACTGATAAGAATTTGGTATGAATGAACATCTTTACTGTAGAACAGTCCCCTGTGTTGTGGCAGTCAGCACAAGTACTGCAGAGCTGTTGGAGGTCATTGTGTCCAAGGCATTCCAGAATGTTATCCTGAAACGTCTCAGCAGTTTCAGGCGTCTGTGGGCAGTCCTCATTCAGTGAGTGTTTGAAAAGTCCATAGCACAGCCTGTCCCTGGTCTCCACTGAGTGGTTAGCCATTACTGCAATATAAATAACATTCATCATCCTTTAGGTTGGCAGGTAATAGCTGTACTGGGCTGGAGAGTATGGGGCTTTCTTAGAAAGGAAGACTCAATCAAAGTCTGCACTACTGGTTATGAGTGCTGACCTCAATAAGTTAATTTTGAGGCTGACAGACTCAGATAGGTAAGGGCAGCTTGGCCTCTCAGTGAAACCCTGAGCATCCCCTGGCATGCAGTGGTCTTCTTTTGTGGTGCACACCCTGTTCCTGCCCAAATTCTGTGTTTCACTTGGTGGTTGTAGCCTGCTCTAACAGATGCAGCTGCTGTGGCAATACACATCCAGGGCAAAGAGTGCCCAGCCCCTCACCAGCTTTGCTTTCATGCCCACCTCATTTCCTTGCCTGTCTTCAGTTACCAGCCTAGACTGGTGGAAAAGGGGAAAGCATGAAAGAGAAAGGTTAACCCAAACCCCTGTGTCTCCATCTCCTGGCTGCCTGCCAGACCTGCATCATGGACCTCTTGTAATGAGCCTGAGTGAAACTTCCTAATGTGAATTCTTCAGTAATTTAAAAGATTTTGTAAAATGCAGAAGCCAGCAAAGGAATTCACTTCATGCTGTCCTCCTTCCCCTCTGGCATTCAAGCAAGCAGTAAGAGAGTCACTTAGGAAAAGATATTTTGACTTAGTGATCTCATTCAGCATGTTATGTTAAATCATTTCAGGAAGAACACCTATTAGTAATCATTTCCAATTCCAGGGAGGATGAAGGAGGCTTTTTGGCATATGACTCAAGAACCTGCTGGGCTGTTTCTTCAGGCTGGCAAAACAGGGGAACTGTGGTGAATTCAGAAGTTTAGTCAAACAAGCCTGAAGTTTAATTCTCCATGAGTGGCTTTGACTGTGACATGCCATCACTCCAAGCTGCAGACAGCATCTCTCATGCTGCTGGGCACAGAGCCTGGCTGAGGGCTGGAAACCTGCACAGCTGCACTGAACTGCTTGGGCTGCTTCCTACTTAAAGATAAGGTATACAA